ATATATATATATATATATATATATATATATATATATATATAATTATATTTAGTATTTACGGAAGCATCAAGGCATGTTTTAAAAGTATATGCTAAGACGATTTTGTCATACAGATTGAGCCGTAGAGACGATATCGCATTTATTGAAGATCTGTTCAAGCAGATTTTATTCCTTTTTCTTAAATTGCGAGAAATACTCCCAACGAAATTCAAAATGCTCAAAATTATCCATAGAAAAAAAAAATCATTTATCCACAATTCCACTAGTCTAATCCTCGAAATGATTTTATTCACAAGTTTCCTTCTCATGAAAATTTATTTTGCTAAAATCGTACTTTTAAGAAAAAGATATATTAAATTTAATTGGTACAGCTCTCTCTCTCACCTCATGCTGTCCTAAGCGCATACATAAGATAACTCACGTCACCGTGTAATAGTAACATCTCTAAAACCACATTCCATGACCATGAGTGTTCCCATACATTTGCTAACCATTTACGCTTCCTCTTCCATGCCTGGTTAGATCAATTCCGTACGAATGGGAGATTCTGTTATAAATGATATCACAATATATACACACACACACACATATATATATATAGTTATTTTTTTTACAAATAGGAAGAACCAAAACGCGAATCTTTTCTTTGGCAAGAAGTTTCTTTTACATAAGTAAGGTACACTTTGAAAAGTTTTTCTTCCTAAGAAATAGGATTCAAGATCAAGAACAGCCAGCCCCATGACAGTGTCTGCCTCCAAAAACAAAGAAAACCAAAGTAAAGAGAACAGCTCTAGATCTCACAAGGAAATATGAAAAAAAAAAAACTTCAAAAATAATCTGTGTTAGCAGCAATTTCCCCCATATGACCAAAAAAAGAAGAAAAAGAAAAGAAGGGTCCTTTCAGTCCTCCATGAAAAGCCCAACATGCAAAACTTGAGGAGAGGGGGGTAACATATCATGAACATACAGCTTTTGATCTCAAAAATTCATCTCACAAGTACCTGGATTTGATGCTTGTAGTGGTAAGAAGCCACAAAATCTTGCCCGGGGGGATTCATTTTGCAACAGAATTTTTGTATATTATGGCTTGTGTTATTGCTGATGCAGATGCAGATGCTTGAATTCATCACTATCAGCTCCCTTCTCAGTCAATGCAGAGAAAAGCTTTGGCAAGATCTTAGCCAACATAAGCTTGAACCCAACCGAAGTTGAATTGGCACTGCTGAGTTCATCGCTAACGGATGCGTCTTTGGTGAGGGAACCTATCAGGTACCCTTTCATATAGGCATCACATGCCTTCAAGATGTAGTATCCCCGCTTTCTGAAATGCTCTTTGATAAGTTCTTCAAAGTCCTGCAGGTTCCATTCCGAAACAAGAAATCAAGTTGGGGTGACAAAAACATTTGCAAGATTCCGACTTGGAAAGGAGAAGAAATCACAAGCAGAGGTTTTTGATCTCTTACCTTTGGTGGTTTCCTCATAAGATTCATCATGGTTTTACAGTTAAGCAGGAAAGTGTTTTCATTGTATGCCAATGAGTTCTTCTCTCCTTCTGCTGTTCCGACCTGCTTATCATACCCTGCTTCATTGAAGTAAGGCTTTGCATTCAAGACCAGCCCCTGGAGTGAAACCAGGACTTGAAGGATGCTTGATGATTTCGGATCCCAAACTTCGTTTCCTCTGCCCGTCCACGTATTCAGAAGACTAAGACAGACCTTGCCTTCTTCATACAGATTCGGGTTAATCCTCCAACCACCCGAATGATAATATGCAGACTGCATCATTCAAGAGAAAGTTAGAGCATGGTTTCCCATTAGCATCTTCCAGAATTCAGATCCATTCGGTTGCTGAATAATCGAAATAAGATTTAGAAATTTGTACCGGAGGCACACTAGGGTAGTCAGGGGGAAGGTGAAAATCAAAGAAGAAGAGACCATCTTGGTAAGGTGTTCCATATGCCCCGACTATGACTGCCCTCAAGAGATCCATTCTATCTTCGTAAACACGAACAAAAATTCCATCTAGCAAATGTTTAAAACAAAAATAAAATAATAAACTCAGTGACTACCATCGAAAAAAATACATACAGTTTTTCTAAACACATATATAAATCCAGTATCCTTACCCGGTAGATTGTTCTGTAGTATTTTCCAGTCCTGATCAACCTTCTTGAGCCACTTCCTTTCCTTGGTTCTCTGAAAGTTTGATATGACACTTACTGATCAATATTGGTAATGCAAGATGGAAACGTGTACTCTAGACTAGCCCACAGAACAACCATATCAACTGGAGTGGCCATTGGATACGACCAGAATATTCCAATACTTACAGCCGAGAAGTTTTTCTGTGTTTTATAATGAAATAAAGGGGTCATCTCTAGTGTTTGAATGTGTGAGCCAGTGACCTACCTGCTCGTTTTCCCCAAGAAAGTGGTGGTCCAGAGGATCTTGTGATATATCAAAGCGTTTGAAACTGTAATTATCACTTTCAGGATGTCCTGGATCATCAGATGTTTCGATACTTAACCTGTTCGAAGCTTCAGCTGCTTCTTTTCCTGCATTCGTTGGGATTTTCCCACTCAAATGGTCCCCAGCCTTCACTTCAATGCCTTCCGAGCCACTATTATCAATGACACTAGATTTCAGAGGACTAGATTCATCAGGAACGGAATCCCTTTCGTCAGAAGGGTTGGTCGATTCTTCATTCTTGAATCCATTTTCACCAATAGAATCAGAACTGGCAGAATCATCAACTTTTCGTCCCCGTGAAAATATTCCACTAGCCAGCCTAGTCACAAACTCAATTGCAGCTAGAGGAAGCGCAAGGGCACCATTCTTCCCGGGATCGTTCTCCCCACTGATTTCTGCATCAGAAGTTATCTCAATGGAACTGCCCATTCCAAGCTCCTGCAAAAACAATGACATTAATTTGCCAGCCATCTTTACTCAACTAGTGATATGTACTGGCAGACAGTCTGTGCTATTTCAAAGCTTTTATAATCATTGTTGGGGAAAGGAAATTCTATCTGACAATATTCGAGGAAACGAATTCAATAGAATACTACAGTTGTCAAAAATGGAAGCGAACCTCTTGTGCATCGTCTGGAGCACCAATCTCCTCGTCTACAGTTTCCCAACTAGCAGCATCACTTACTTCACTTCCAGCAGCAATGGACTCATCATCATCGTCCCGTCCAACTACGTAAATTGCTTGAGGGCCAACCTAGGGGAATGTCATAAAAAAAACAAACTGATCATATTAAACACTTAGTCTCCCCAAGGACAGGCAGTCAACACATAGGCGAGAAATATAACTTTTTTTCACGCACGGAAAACCATACAGAGCAGCAATTCACATGTATCACCTAGATAAATTTCAATTTTTTAAATCCATGGTTTCAAATCGAGGTAGCACGTAAAGGACTGTGAATATTGACACACACTGCAAGTCTGAAATAATGTAATGAGGGAAAAACTGGAAGAGGACTTTGCAAATATGGCTGATAATTGCACAGGCAAGTTGGAGATTGACGTACCGTTGAGACCATCCCATCAGCCCATGTAACTTCGATATGACCATCCTTTAGGGCAGTAATATTTCCAACCCAGGAGAGATTTGGAAGGTCAACATTAGCTTCACCATCCGCCTTATCCTCAACTTTCTTAGCGCCATGAGAGATTTGGTGCGTATTGTCCTCCTGTGTTGCCTCCTCTAGAGAACTTCCAGCAGGAGATGCTTGTAAGGCAACTGAAACAGGTGATAATCTAATCACGACATCTCCATAACAGTAGTCATAATCTGGATGCCCCTCCAGTTCGTAGACGCTGACAAGTTCTTCCTTTTCAAACTCTAGAGGGTCTTCTGCCCTTTGAACTGGCTTCAGCCATCTCACACAAGCCGTCCGCTCCTTTGCATTGACACTTTTCACAACCCCAACACGCCTAGGTTCAGTTTCATTACCAGCATCATCAGATGCCTTCTCCACCACATACTGCTCAGAGACAAACTCATGATCACCAGGACTCTCGATTGGAATCAATGTTATAGCTTCTCGTCCACGTTCTATTGTTCCATCTTGCCAGGCTACATCAACTTTTGTTCTGCTATTAACAATCAAAAGGGCATGTTCGAAGCTTTCCTCTTTTTTCTTTACCCTCTTGTCCTTCCTGATAACAAGTTTACGAATCTTCTTGCGGTGGAGAGGCCAAGGTTCATGAGCAGGCTCCTTCAAAACGGAAGATGCTCTTTGAGTAAGATCTACACTAGTTTCTTTCGGCAAAGCCCCATCAGCAGCAGCAGCAGCAGCATCAATAGATTCTTTGTTATCGTCCAGATCTTCTTGCGCATCTTCTAGATCACACCCACTTTCCTGTTGCCCATCTGCATCATTTGGCGCGGAATCTTGAAGTCGTGATTTAGATACATGCTTATGCAATGGAATTTTGGAAGACTGATTCAACGATGGTAGAAGGCACCAGTCACCCACTTGCCAATTGGCATGAGTGAAACATGACAACAATGTCAAATTACTAGGACTCTGCTCTTCAGGTGGAGCAACAGAAGAATCTGGTCCAAATCCAGCAGATGCTATCCAATACACAAAAACAGATCCAGCAGTAACATTGGTCACAGTACCCTCTAACCGATTAGGCTTCCACAAGCCAGATAACCACCTAGAATTCTTGAACACTGACGAAGAGCTTGCCTTTACACGCTGGCCCGGATGATATGGAAAGCTTGCATCTTCTTCAAGGTTATTCCTGGGAATTGGTTTTAAACGAAGGGGTTCAACACGGACAACTTTACACACAGAACCATCATCAAACATCACAGTCACATTGTCCAATACATCATCAATTCTACCTAGCCAGGGGCCATGGACTACATAGTCACCGACAGTGAAGTCCCTCACTCGTTTCAACTTTTTGGTTGAGATGTCCTTGAGGATAGAACCATCAGGAGCCAATAAATCTACTGAGATGTTTGCGTCCACTATAGCTCCTACCTGTCCAGTTGGGTCGGAAGCTGAAGCAACATAATCTCCATGCAAGAAACCACGGTCAACAACTGTTACATTCTTAATATCTTGTACTGGCTCCATGTCGTCTATCCATAGCACACGAATCTGGTCGACCTCAAGTTCGCCACACTTGTAGTTGCCATCAGCTTTTTTCTCACCAGAAGCATTGTTTCCCTCACCGCCCATTTCTTCATTGCCCCTTTTCCCTTCTTCATCATCACCGTCTTCATCAATGTCGTCTTCTTCATCTTCCTCATCGCTAATATCACTTTCACTTTCAGAGTCGGAGTCACCAGCTACTTCGCTCACAACCCCGATACTACCCGTTTTGTTGCTCTTGACAATATCTTGCCGATAAATGAAGGGGCGTTCATTCATCCCTACATCACTGTGATTATTAATTTGACTGTTTTCGTTGCTCCCTATGGGGTCAGAGACACATTCATTTGCCGCAGACTCATCAAGTTGTGAGCCATTTTGTTCATGTTCCATCTGAAATGCAAGCAAAAATTATATGATAAAAGGATTGGATAAACCCAAATGTGGCATTCAGACGTATCATTCACCTGTGATATAAGCTTTTAATCTAACAATACTCACTCTCTTCTCAACAAGATCTTCACACAAAACTCAAAACTCTTCCTAAGTTTCAAACTCTTAGCTTTCCACAAGATATCCTGCTAATGGACGGATTCATAATCAACAACTTAAATATCCTAGTAAATGAGATCCGACGCGTTAATCTTTCAACCTCAACGTACAGAATGTGCAGAACTACGGCTAAAATCCGACCCTAGACGCAACATCCAGAGGAAAAACAATAAAGTACAACGATCAGCACCTTGCAATTCGGTCAACAGCTAAACCAAAATCGAGTTTTAGCCTCAAAAACCAATACAAATACACAAAAGAGCAATGCCTAAAATTGAAATCCAGGAGATAAGCAAAAATACGAGATGATACAAAACAGGAATTAAAATAAAAGAGAAAACTTTGATTCTCCATCGAGGCCAAAACAAGAAAAGCTAACATTGAGCTTCCAAAGAAAATTGACAGATTCAGTCTAGACAGCAAGAGAAACTCTCACCACGTGTCGAGAAAAGAAACAAGTATCGGCGATAATCGGCGGCAATTGGTCGGAGAAAATCGAAAAGAGAAGATTGAATCGAAACTTGTCGTATTGATCGTTCCAGGAGATGAATAGAAACGAGCGAGAAAGAAGAAGAAATGATGGAGAAGGAGAAGAAGAAAGAAGAAGAAAATAAAAACGCAAGGAGATGGAGGAAGGAAGGAGCTGCGCTGGGGATTCTTGGTTATTCCAATTTCCCAAGCGACATAGGGGTATTCTAGTAATTTTAAAATTCCTTTCTGTGACATCCCCATCATACTCTAAAGATCCAAGTAATTGAATCACGGCCGTCGGATCTGCTTACCAAGTCTCTACCGCTGACCCCTTATTTGAAGTTATTTTTTAAAAACAAATTTGTTCCGTTTTCCACTCTCATTAAATGCATTTTTTTTTTATAAAAAAAAATTGTTTGAATTAAAAATGTCCTAAAAAAGTGAATATGAAAATTTTCCAATTATATCATTCATGGGCAAAATTACACGACCGTACATACATACATATATATATGTATAGCTGTTAGGATTGGCGATAATTTTGTACATCACAACTTGTTATAAAGGAATCACGATAATAGTTATAGCCATTGGCATAGATCAAATTTATGACTAATAAATCAGCCAAGTGAAGGAAACCGTACGAAGCAGACAGTGTGGGCACAAGTTTGAATCAAGAGAAAATCAAAGTTAAAAATTACACAAAACACACTTTTGGTTCTTCAAATATGATTTGAAATGTTAATCTAAGGCTGTACTTTGACACAAAAGATTTGTAATGTTAAACCATCCACGCCATCCGACCAAACTAACCTTTCCTCGTCCTGTAATCATTTACTTGCTCTCGGGGAATTTCGCCTCGTAAGCCTGTGGAGTCTGGCAGGCACGAAAACGAGGCCGTTTAGTAAGAGAGAAAAAGGCGATTTTCGCAATTTGAGATCAGAGAAAAGACGTCTTTTCGAATGTATTGTTGGTACCATGTAAGTTGCAGTAATCATGTTTCCGGCAAACCATCTTCCGTGGAGAGCCCGTTGAGCGCTCATGGCCGCTTGTGTAGTTTCGAATCTCAAGTACACGAAACCCGCGCTGTTCCTGTTTCGAAAGCAAGAGATCAGAATCGGAGAAATGATAAAAACTCGGGTTTGAAAACACGAAAAGAACGGCTCACTTGTCGACAAAAATATGATTCAGCTTCCCAAACTTAGAGCACTCTTCTTGAACATCCTCCTTGATATCAAGGTCGAAATCAGGCTCGGTCTGTTGAATAGACAGCACAAAAGATTTAGTGAATATGCGAGAACTCTGTTACAACGGAAACGTTTTTAGCAGATTACCGACCTCGGAATTTGGATCAAACATGTTCTTCAGTAGCAGACACTCGGTAGGAACACCGACGGGGTCGAGGGCCGTCGGGATACTTATGCCAGGAAGAATACCTGTCCCTGGTAGTCCAGCGATGGTAGGGACGGAACCTTGTACAAGAGGAGCGACCAAAGGAGAGATTAGTGACGCTGCACCTGGTATAGATGCCGCAGGAGTCATGCCAGTGCTGCAGAGAAGACAGGTTTTAGTGAAGTCGGTAAAGAAAGAAGCCGATTTCGAGAGAAGGCGGGAGG